TCACAGACAGGACTATTGTTGCTAATAAGCCTGATATTGTAGTGATAGATCGATTAGAGCGCCGCGCAATGATTGTTGATATCGCCGTTCCTCATGACGAGAATCTCGTGAAAGTTGAAAAAGAAAAACAAATAAAATATTTGGATTTATCTCACGAGATTGTCGATATGTGGAATGTCGATTCAGTGATAATTGTTCCGATAGTCGTATCTGCTCACGGATTGATAGCCAAGAGCCTCGACCAACACCTTAAGAGGCTCACGTTGGACGGCTGGATCAAGGGTCTGATACAGAAGGCAGTCCTCCTTGACACGGCTCGTATAGTGAGGAGGTTCCTATCTTTGCAGTCCTAACCACTGGTGTCTTGGTACCTGTACCCGATGTCGGTGGTCTACTATTTTTTATATTTTTAAATGTATTTTTATTTCTTTTGTAATATATTTAAAAATGTAATTAATATGTATATATAATTTAATAAAGAGAATAATAATTACTGTCGATGCTATATGTATTTAGCTCATGTTTTGTCTCCTCAGCTGTGAACTTCTTGCACGCTCTCTTTCCACCGTTTCACACAGTTTATCCACCGTTTATTAAGTTTTGCTCTATTCTTAAACCCTTATGTATCCCTACTTCTCTCTTTATGATATTCCTTTTATTCTTATTATCTCATGTCTAAACCATGTAGCCTGCTTTTCGAATTTAAAGTTCCATTAGCTATTTTTGTTCTGCAAAAGCAATCATCCTTTAGACGTCGCTTCAGTCACGAGCACCTTTACTGCAAATATCAGCATTTCAGATTTTTACTATAAGTATGAGGAGAATAGTAACGCCACATCACATCTCTTCAACGGTCTTTAATGGTCCACTGCTGAACATAGGCCTCTCCTCAGCAAGCAGGTTTTGGCCTACTATACCATGCTGGCCAGACGGGTTGGCACTGGGTTTGTGAAAAGTTTTATAATAATCACAAAGTTGTTTTCCTACGTAGTTGGTCCTTAGTCGGCTCTTAAGACACCTACGGAATGAATAGGGGTGATGAGATGCCGTATTCTTAATCACCACACGGATACCTATTTACCACTTATATTTGTAGCAGTTTTTATTAGCAATACTTTTAAAATTAGTATTGTCATCTCCTAAACTATCACTGCATCGTGTTTTATGAATTTCTATTTCTACACTATTTATTTAATTGGTCTGAGTGCGAGGTCTGAGCGTACTTACTTTATTTAAAGTAACCACTACTTAATTATAAGTTAAAAACCTTTAAAACCAAATCCAGAACGTTACCTAAGTGATATTCTCGTAAAATGCATTTTTTTATTAACCTAATGTCAGCTATCGAATATGATGTAGAAGAACATCACTATTTAGAATAACCCATTTATTTAAAGTTAAATGTAAAATTTATTCGTAGTGTTGTTATTTATTAGTATTTGGTGTTACTCGGACGTAAATAGTTGGATACATACTCGCATTTAATAGAAAATTAGGTGAGTTCAATAGATTGGCTTTAGAAAATAACTTGATAACACTTTATTAAATATTTAATATTAAGAATTTATATAAATAGTTAGACAAATATTTAACCTCCTCTTTTATTGGCTTCCACATCAACAGCTTATAATAGTCCACTGCTGGACATAGGCCTCTCCCTAGAAAGGAGGTTGAATTGGCTTAAACGACATTAATTGCCGACATCCTTTAGATCTTTGTTTTGTTAAGAGCCACCAAAAGTGTAGAAGTGGGGTGTGTAAAAGACGTTCAAAGGAATTCGTAACTGGTTATACAAATGCTGTTAAATTTTATCTGTATCGAAATAATAATAATGACCTCAGACACCTCACACCCACCCCACCCTAGCACCCTCTAAAAAAATTTCACCCCTACAGTGTGAATAAAACGATGAAAGGGTGTTTGGAAGTTCATGATTTTCAAAGTACGAAAATAGAAAAACACGAAATAAGAATTGACTACACGGAATACCTAGTGTTTTAAGCGGTCTACTGTACTGAGTGTTGTGGGTTCGATCCAGTCATGTACCAACACATTGTGTGATCCAGAAATTAGTGTTCTGAGTCTGAGTGTTCCTTGTGTCCGTTTTATGTATGTTTGTGAAGTCCCCGCAACACAGTTATAGAGGATATATTCCTAGGCGAAAGTTGTATTTTTAATAGGAAGAAAATAATCTCGGTAGTCTTTTATAAAGACGTTTCACGTAACCTATAATTGTAATAAGTATATAAAATATTATACATCGGTATATAAATAAGTAATTATTATTATAAATGTTATATTACTTGTTATCGCACGTTAGGTCATACACGTATCTTCGATTGTTACTCATAAATCTCTAGGATAATTTGTTTTAGTTAAGAACTCTCCTATTTTAAATGTCATTTTTGTGAACCGACGAAAAACAGAGGTTCTCATATCAAGCGACTTGCTTTAAGTTGATGTTCTGCTACAAATGCAATGGACTATATTGCCTTCTTGCTTACCAGAGGAGGATGGAGACAGAAATAGTTGTCATGAGTTTTTGTCAAACGAACTGTTAAGAAGTTTATAAATGTTTACAACATTTTTTTTGGAATCCATAGTTCAAATCAAACTTTGTTTGGATCTACACAGCACTCCCGATGTTCTAATAAAAGCTGCTCCCGGATCCCTCCTACTTTAGGCGCAGTTGTGTGGTTTTAGTTGGTTCGATTCTGATTCCAACACACCCATAAAGAACTGAGTGTGTGTATAATTGTATATGTGTATGCATGGGCATACCCAGCAATTACTTTGGGATGGGGCAAAATTAAAAAAACTAGATAAATTATTAAAATGTAATTAACCATTTACGACCATTTATGATTGCCGCAAATCCTGTTTGAAATTTTGGTCTTCCCTGACCTTCTTCCTATGCACACCCATCATGCAGAAGCCAACAAGTCGTTTTTCTGTCATTGTCGATCGTAGCCAAGTTTTTACAAAATAATATTCTACTAAAACAAAATTTTGGTGTTGCAATTGAACCGGAACTTCATGAAATGTTTAAAATTTTTAATCACGAAAAAAACCGGGGTGTAAGTCAAGCCCCACCTTGCCCCACTGTGGGTACGCCCATGTGTGTATGCACATTCGTATGTAGTGAGTAGAATACATTTAAAAAGTAACAAAGATGATGAAAAAAAAACAAATACAACGGTACGCATTCTATGAGAAAATTTTATCATTTCTTTATTGTGTAGTGATTCAAAATTATTCAAACATAAAGTCCTGCATAACAATAGTATATATAGTTTAATAGTTAAACAATGTATTGTAGCAGAAAGATCTATTGTGAGATCTATTAAAAAAACAGTCGGATTCGTATTGAAAAATTTTTTCTTTTTAAAGGTCTACTAGCAACCGAAATTACTAGTATTCCCGTTAACCCCTGCCGCTTAGCTAAATTGCTTGTGTTTACGTCGCTAGTGTATTGGTCAGGATTTGAACCCACAACCTTTTGATCGCAAGTCCAATGCCCTAACCACTAGGCTACCGCTGCTCAAACTGTGGTGATTTCAAGGGCCTGCGTTCGGGTATATAAGCTAAGAATTGGCTATTTCATCCATTACTTTACATAAATGTGTAGTAGTAATATCACACATCTCACACATGACAGAGCCTGTACTATAGTAACCAGACTGCTGATAAATATCCAACATATTTCAGAGTAAAGATAAATTACAACCAAATACAGAATAAATGATCGTGCTCATTACGCAATTATTTGTCCTGGGTGGGAATCGAACGCACGACCTTTGGTTTAGCAGTCAGGGTCGCTAACCATTTTATCTCGTTAATTTATCTCGTTTAAAAGTCTGCGGTTGTGGCAATATCTCTTGATTGGAAATAAACTATAACAGTAATGATCTTATAGATTTCTTTGCATCTAATACCTTTAAACGATAAATTTTTGTATATATATAATCTGAATCTCGGAAACGGCTCCAACAATTTTCATGAAATTTAGTATGCAGGGGATTTCGCGGGCGATTGATCGATCTAGCTAGGTTCCATTTTTAGAAAATTTACCAAAAAAAATACCGGTCATCCAAGTACTATTACTTTATTTCGGTTTTGATTAAGATCCAAAACTTGCTAATAAAAAATTATGAAATTAAATAAAAGCCTTGAAGTTAATGTAAATACCGAGTGAAGTTAATAAAGTAATCGATTATTGGACTTATCTTTGAACTATCACATTACCAAGCTGGTTACAAAAGCAATCCGTACAAATTCATAAAATTGAAGGGTCTGTTTGTAATGTCAAAATATTAGGTTTTTTTCATACTCACACGGTTATTTGCACGATACCTATGCCTAAAAACCAATTTAAATATTTTTTGTCGGTCTGTCATTTCCGGGTAATCTTCAAAACGGCTAGACCGATTTTGATAATATTTAACTACCAGTTAGCAGTCTAAATAAGGAGTGACTTAGGATATTTTCCCTCTCAGAAAAACCTAATAAATTTTTGTCAGGTCCGGGCATCGAACCCGAGGCCTCATGGACTGCAGTCGTGTACCGTACTACGCTACTAAGGCAGCGCTTTTCAAATTCGAACGATCGAAGTCGTGGTTTTATATAAAAAGTTAAATAAAATATTAGGTATACTGAAGTATTTAGGTTTTAACTTAGTTTAACAGACAGAGAAGAAATTTGATTCTTTAATAGAAATCTAATGTCCACCAATAGACGTCAAAAAGCTAATCACAAAAATAAAAATGATGTTAGAATCAAATAAAAGCGAAACCCGTTCTTTGGTTAGTTAAATAGTTATATTTTTATGTTCGATTCGACAAATCGATTTACGATTTGCATCGAACATGTAATCATCGATTGCCATCGTGGAGACATGCTACACATCAATGCCTAATTTATACACCTCAAGTCACGAAAATTAAAGGGATACTAAATATTTGACATCTATCTGACACTTCTTTTTTTTGTTTCAGATCAGAATGCTGTTCCTCTTATTTCTGATATTACCATCGGTTCTTACCCAAAACTGTTCACACCATTTTGATGGGATGGACTACACGAAGACTGCAATCCTCACAATAAAGGGATTGCCAACAAACCTAGTATTTAATCCAGCAAACAAAGACTTACACTTCACTCTAATAGACCTGGAAAGTCTACAGGATGACCATGTTCAGACACGAATGGAGCAATACCTACTACGAGACAACCAACCAATAAAAATTGACAATGTTAACGGTCAAGCAGCAGCTATAGATGTAAAAAAAGAAAGGGTTTACTTAGCAGCTGATGACGGATTGTACTTTTTAAACAGTTCTGATAAAGCGGAATTCCTAAGCAACAAAGATGAAGACATAGTCCAGCTATTCAAACCAAATAATACAGATAAATTATACGCCGTTACATTCCCGGATAACGAAGTATATGCTATTGATGTAGAAAAGAATGAAAAACATAAATTAGAACATGTTCCTTGCGCTTTCATTTTAGCTGCTGATGATGGCGATAATATCTACTATGAATGTGATTCTAAATATGTTAAAATGTTGCTTAAAGGCTTTCAAGAACCGATTGAATTTGTCGGTATTCAGAAAGACTCTGCGAGGTCCATGGCTACTGATAGCTATGGGCGAGTTATTTTGGCTGCAAATGATGGACTTTATTTATTAAGACCAACGAATTTAATACCTACTAAGCTCATGGATTTAGATTATGTGCCAGCTGGGTTGGCTTTTGATGGGGATACTTTTTATCTATCTTCGAATGGTATTATCTACAGGTATTCCACAGACGAATGTTAAGTTAAAATGTAAAAGAATGAAATTAAAAGATAGTTACGTTATTATTGGTTTCAATTTCAATACTCTTTACGGTTCTATCTACGGCTCGTAATTTAACATCTCTAAGTTAGTCGTTCACAACTATTTTCATATCGAATATCAGGACCCATTGGACTGTCTAGATTTTGTTTTGTACAAATACGGTAATTGCTATTTATGATACCGCTATCTTGTTAAAAAATTGATGTTTCCTTTATACTCTTGTATAATCTATGTAAATCTACCACTGAGAGTAATCTCTTTTATTCTTTAGAAGAAAATACATATGATTTAAAATATTAACATACCTTTTGTAATTAAATAGTTTGACTCCACTCCAACACCAACAAAGGGTCACAACGTAATGAAGAAGTGGCCAGCCCAATAGGGTTATTTTCTCAATTGAATTGATTATTCATCTAGGAACAATTACAAAAATTACATCACTATTAGACAATTGATTCATTTCAATATTTTGTACAGGATGTTGCTTTAGTTGCTAAGACGGCAAAAACATAAAGGGCTCTTGAAGGAATATAATTACTATGCCTATAAACGTAACAGTAGTTCCTTTTTGGGTATGACTGGATCTCTCTCTGGGCTTTAATCGAATCGATCGCAAATTACCAATTCACTATTACCCCCCCTGATGTACTGACTCCTGAATTATAAAAAAGAGGTATCATTAGGTGATTGTTAGCCATATTAGTAAGGGAGTTTATATTAAACAATCACCTAGGGTGGTCCACTTCAAAACATAGCATCTCCCAAACATGCACTATGGCCTTCAGTCCTCTGCCTTCCGTGTCCAATATAACTGCGGGTTATCCTACCTTTAGTTTACCGCTCTGTTGTATCCATTCTAATACACGTTTGCTAGATGTACATGTTGTCATAGGGAAGGTACTTATCATCCAGAATAAAAAACTATTCCTGAAGGATAATGTAGTCCGTGTGGTGACGGATTAAGAATACGGAATGTCATTACCCCTATTCATCCCGTGGGTGTCTTAAGAGCCGACTGAGGGAACAAACTACGCAGGACAACAGCACTGCAAAGAGAACGAAAACTTGAAATAAACCCTATATCAACCCGTCTGGCCAACTCCATTCTGAAGAGAGGACTATGTCCAGCAGTGGACATATTAAGGCTGTTGATGATGATGATGATGAAGGATAATGAATTTAATGGTAAAATTTACATATTTATGCCATGTCATTTTGAATACGCTTTAACATGTGGCGTTGATTTTTCTCTACATCTTAGAATTAAAAAGAAAGTACAATGAAAGTCTAGCTAAAAATCATCAGCCTATATATAATAGCATCAGAAATATCAACACCGGTAAATGTTTACAAGCATAAAGACACATGATACAATGGCAAATGTTTTATAAAGCGATTCAGTGGACCACAAGGAGCGCGTATGTTTCATCAACCGAGAGCTGAGCAGGCGGATCTCAAGTAAGTAAATATATTACTTTTAATAGTTATATATGCATTGTTTTAAAAGTGTAAATCTGAAGATAGAAGAGAAGCAGAAGAAGGAGAAACAGAGACCAGTTAGCGGGTTTAGATTCGCCGGTAATTCAAGTTGCAGGTTGGCGAACCTAACCTGTACGAACTCGAGTTCAAACTTACGTTTCCTAATTATCAACAGACTTTCATAGTCCACTGCTGGGAAGGTTGTCCGTATGGTAACAGATTAAGAATACGGAGTGCCACCACCTCTATTCATCCGGTTGGTGTCGTAAGAGCCGAGTAATTGAGCAAACTACGAAAACAGCACTGCAAATAGAAGGATAGCCTGGCCAGTACTAGTACTAGTAGGTCTAGTAGGCCTAACTCTCCCTCTCACTCTCTCTCTAATATATTCGTATAAATAATATCCCTTTCTTTCGTTAAGTTAAAAGAAATAATTTTCACAGCTTACCTTTTGACAAATAAATATGTGGATCTTAAAAATTATTGTCTTAAAAGTAGAAGTGCGTGGTCAATATCGCATCCTCTGATGAATGACATATCAGCTGTGAGTCGTTAACTGTTAATTGTGTAAATAGAAAGTGCTTGTCTGCCACTTGCCTTCTCACACCTATTATCAGGACTTTAAATACTCTTCAGGACTCTAAAAATTTGTCTTAGAAGATGCCATGAATACCTATGTTCTTCTACATATAAATCGGCATTATCGGCTTGAATATCTATTTTTATTTACCGGGCACTTTCGGACATTATGTAGAAAAAAAAAAACAAGTTTTATATTACGTTAGTAATGATCGGTCTCTTACACAAATTTTCGGTTTTTATTTCACCCCAACAAGTATTATTTTCGTGTCGAAAAGTAACCTGAGATCTTATGCTAAAGATTGATAAGAGAGAGATTTTTTTTTAAATATCTTGCAATTTAAAGTTAAAAGAAGATAATGTATAAGATCATTTCTTTTAAAATTCGTAAAAAAATATGGAATTTTCATCATTATAAAGGGTAAAATATGGCCGAATACGAATTCCACGCCGCGGTCGATAATTATCATCAAATATATACGCTTCTATCCTTATAAACTAAGTAAAATCTTTACCTAAGATTGTTATTACTAAAATAAACTACTAATTAACTGATATAGGATTAATTTGAATTCAAACCAGGCTCTTATTTGTTACAGGTACACTAAATGTTGGTCATGAAACTAACTCTACAATGACAAAGCTCACAACAGTTCTTCCATTAATCGCCATTTTGATCCATGGCTGCTACACTGAAAAATGTGAAAGGATCAAGATTGGTAATGAATACTACAAAAGACAGCTAATCGCCACCATCGACGGCTTCCCAACAGGAATAGTGATAGACCCCCTAACTGACAACATTTTTTTCATACTACATAAAAGGAATTATACGAAAGGAATACATCTGTTAAAACATGGTTCTCTAGGCATCAAAGAACTACCAGTTTCTGATGATTTACAGGGGCAATGCGTAGCTGTGGATGCAGTCACTAATACTATATATATTGGCACAAACCAGGGCTTGGTGACATATGATTATTCGAGAACGGAAATCACAGCTGAGAGACCGATCGGAGACGATGACGTTCGGAGTATATTTATTGATAAAAGTGACAATCAAATGTATATTACGACTGGACCTAATCATGATATCTTCCGATTTGTAAACGGTTCTGCAGCAGTTAAAAGATGCGAGAGGGTTCCGAAGGCTTACAGTTTCGTGATGGACAGTAAAGGCAACGCTTTCTATGAGTACATCGATGGGAGACTTTATTTTTTCTCTGTAGATTTCTACGAACCGATACAGTATAAAGGTTTCACTAGAGAATTGAAATACATCCTTCAATTAAACAATAATGATGAAGCAATCGTCGCCGTCAAAGGATCATTATTTAGATTATTCACGAAGAGTATTTTGCCTGTAAAGATTGGTCATTTAGGATTTAAAATAACGGGTATGGCATTCGACCATAAGAATAATATACTAATAGGCACTAAAGGAAAGATCTATAGGTACAAACCCATTGAATCGAACGACCCGTGTCCGGCCGATGACTATTTCATGTCCAGCATTTAATTGTTTTTGATTTTTCATAAACAAATGAGTCTTTAATTTGTCATTAAACTTCTTTGTTTTGTAATCTGTGGTAAGATTTCAAAACAAACAAGATTAATGCATGAAACATGACAGCGATATTTAAAATAAACCGAGGACGTCCATTTTGTTTTTAGTGTTTGCTTTTAAAAAGTATGTTGTGAATGTGGGTACCGTGTTACTGTTATGAATATATGCCTGATGTCAAAATAATATCCATACTTTGTTTTATTTTCCTTTTAATTTAGCCGTGGAAGAACCTTGTTTCGTGACAGGCTTGACTGAAGTGATGCTGTTCACCGAGCGAGTGAGGTTAAAAGAGTCTCAATACCACTCTCTAGAGGGACATTTCAAGTTTGTAGTCCCCGCGTAGGCTCTGCGTTGATGAATGATTCATAGATTACAGAAATTCGGAAGGTCGATAGAGAATACATTTAAAAGCTTTCTGTATACTTAACTCGATTGTGCTAAGTGTGAATTGGTACCTTTTTGCAGAAATAGACTAAAAAAAAAAAAAGTCAAGCTATGAGCGCCATCTATTACATTTTATAGGAACTAATAACAAAAAAGACATAAATCAATAGATCAGATGCAAATTAATTCGGAATTTACATTGTATATTGAAAGTTTAAACATAACAAACACAAAGAGAACTACAAGAGCAACAATATCTAATTTAATAATAATAATACAGGTGAAATTGTAAATGTTTTTTCTTCTAATACCTATTTTGCACTGGAACTAGACAAATAAAGCTGTTTGACATTATTTTCTTTCGTTCATTCTTAAAAAAAACTTCTATTAACAGGACGAAATTTTACTTTCATTGTAGCAAACTCATAGCGCTACCAGTGATTTTTTCTACAATGAATGCACTTTGCGTCATCAGTTCCTAGATGGCGCTGTGCGTTCATTAGTCTCAAAACAAAAATGTTAAAGCACTATTATTAAAATCAACATTCATCAGAAATAGTAAAAAGATAAAACCAAAACATTTAGTTTTGCAACAAAAGTTGGGCTCGTCCGGGATTTGAACCCGGGACCTCTCGCACCCTAAGCGAAAATCATACCCCTAGACCAACGAGCCAGATGAGAGGTATGTTGAAATTAATATAAACTTATCAGATGCATTAATATCGCTTAGTCTCACATAACTTTCTTATATGTATTAAAATAACTCGCTAATACGAGTATATCTATCTGTATATCCACTAACTCCTCCTAAATCACATAACGAATTTTGCTGTAGCTTCGCCAAAAATGAGATATTTTTTGGAAAGTTTATAATAATACAGTATTTTTTAAATGAAAAAAAAAAGGACGTGTTACACTCCGGGAGTGCCGGCAGAAGTGAAAACTTGAATATTAACCTTGTGCATTTTTGATATTTTGGAATGGTTAGGGAATAATTTTGCACGAATTGCTTTAATTTTCAGTATAAAAGTACTATCATTTATGTAGTAGAATACAATATTTATTTATTGCGCTATCGTAAACAAACATGTTTTTTTATACAATTAAATTTATATTACATTAAAAAGTTTATCATACCTATCATACATTTTCGCCGGGCCGTAGAAAGAGAGGGGGATACTTCCTCTCCTACGCCGCGCCGGCTGTCTACGCTCCATCCGTTTTACGAATTTTCGATCAGGGTCACGTGTCCTGACGCGAGTTTAACATTTTTTACCCTAAAGTTTTAACTTCAAAAACAATATTTTGGGACAAAATAAACATTTACAAGAAAAAGACATAAAAGAATAGTGCACACGAAGGCCCACCTTCGTGGCTCATCCAATAGTTGAGTTGTCTTAAAGCAAACTTCATGAATGAACAGATTATAATTAGACACAACAAGAGAAAGTCAAGTGTACGTAAAATTCAAGAAATTAGAAATAAACAACTAAATTTATACAGAAATATAAACAAAATAACTAAATATAATGTAAATAGTGAATAATAAAAATGTAGTAATAATATAAATACTTAAGAATATATACTCGCTTGGATCGGTCGCTAGTTTTTACATTTACTACTGTAAGTACCTATTTAGAGTAATTTCTTTTAAAACTATTTCACCAATAGTCTACTTAATATTATTCTCATCATCATCATCAACAGCCTTTAGTAAGGAGTTGTGTTTGTTCTAAAATCTTATCAATGAGTTTAACATGTTAATTTTGTATGTGCAATAGGAGAGGCCTATGTCCAGCAGTGGACTGCGATAGGGTGATGACGATGATGGTATCGGTCTAATCAAGCTGGCCCTTTAGTGCCATAGGAAGTCTCTCCCATGGCTGTCTCTACCTCTCTTTTAATAATAATATAATAAGAATAATAATATATCTCAAACACTCACACACATCCCTCTGATCCCAAACTAGGCAGAGCCTGTGCTATGGTAACCAGACTGCTCATAAACATACTTATATATTTGTTAAATAGATACATATTATAGAGAAATTACACCCAGACACAGAACGAATGACCGTGCTCATCACATAATATTTGTCCTGGGTGGGAATCGAACCCACGACCTCCGGTTTAGCAGTCAGGGTCACTAACCACTAGACCAACAGGACCGTGATACGGTCCGTCATATCAAGGTTTTTTCAAATTAAATCTGAAGAAAATGTTTCACCTCTGATGGTCTCTTATTACAATATGTCATGATTACGACTCCTTAAAGTCAGTTTAGTTAATTTGATTACTTGCCACGTTAATAGAAAAATTAAACCGCTAGCTTTATTTAACACTCAAAGATCCATTAGTTCATCCCATATTCGTTAGATGGCGCTTATATTATGACATTAAATACAATCAGTTATGGTGACTTATAAATTGGTAAACCTCTACAATAATAAATTGTTTAATATCAAAAATCTCTTCAACGTTCAAAAAAGAGCTGATGATCTTCTAGTCGATTTTCTTTATAATTAGGTATTTAAAGAATAGCAAAAAGCGTCGTTGAGACAATATTCAAACAAAGAAACAGTCCTTTATTGTTTATTCGCTATCCGTGTGGTGACGGATTAAGAATAAGGAGTGTCACCACCCCTAGTCATTCCGGGGTTGTCGTAAGAGTCGACTAACGGAGCAAACAGGAAAACTGCACAGCAAAGAGAATTGAAACTGGAAACAAACCCTATACCAACCCGTCTGGCCAGTGTGATATAGTAGGTCATAACTTAAACAGTAGGACAAATAGTATAAAAAATAATAAGAAAACATTAAAAAAAAACTATAGTTACTTAAATATTTTGTATTACAGTATTCGTCCAACAGACCTACATACTTCGTTTTTAAAACAAAACGTTTTTGGAAGGACCATGTTCACAATAAATTGGCCCGGCACAACCGGGGTACTACCACGACCTCACAAAGAACCATTCAAACTCAAACCTTTTCACCGAACAAATACGGTTACCCTCGCTGACCTTTTTCTGAGGGGCGGGGGGGAGGACTCAAACGACGCCAATGAACTTTTGACTCTTGAGTTGGAGGTATCCATTGGCGACGGTAGCCACTTACCATCTATTTGCTTGCCCTCTATTCCACTAAGAACGATTTCTTGAACTCTTTAGATGTAAGGGTCCATTATTAATTAACTTCTAACGAGTACGATATTAAAATAGCAGAATTGAAGACTCATGATAGCGGTATTTATTAAAAAAAAAACTTTGGCTTCCTCACCCTATTCCTCCCTTAATTAATTTGCTTTGATCCTTTGTCCCGTCGGAAAGTCATTCCATTCTCAAAGTGGGTGAAGTAACCGGCGCGGCAGTCGACCTTGGCCAGTCAAAACCGACAACAGTCAACCACAAACAAAATTGGGAATAGGGTAGGCAGATGATTATATCCAAGATGATGATGATACCTGTAATGGGAATGTGTAATGGTGATGATTTAAATGGCGATTATAAATTACAAACCTAAATTATCAAAACTTCGAATTGTTAAACTAAACAACCAATAAAAAAAACAAATATTAATAAAAATTATGTAGAAGTAAATTGTAAACCAGACCCAGGCGACTGCACGCATGGCGTAGTGGTTTAAGCGGTCGCCATGCCGCTTCCTACTGCGCTGAGTGTTGTGGGTTCAAACCCCACATGGGACAACACTTTGTGTGATCCACAAATTGTTGTTCTGAGTCTGGGTGTTCTTTGTGTCCGTTTCATGTATGTTTGTAATGTCCCCCGCGACACAGGATATATTCCTAATGCGGGAGTTGTCTTTTTTAGGATTTCAAAAAAAAAAAAAAACTCCTTGTACGTAATAGTCTATCAAGTTCATCAAGACTTCTAAATGACACACAATCTCTAACACAAAGCTAATGATTTAATAACTTAAAGTTCGAACCGTGGGAGAGTTATTATATATATACATAGGCAGGAATCATGAGGACCGGAGTGATACCACGGCCTCACAGAAAACCGGCGTTAATCAATTCTTTCGTTGCTGTTTTGTCTCTTCCGTGGACGGCGATAGTCACTTACCATCAGGTGATCCGTCTACTCAGTTGCCCTCTTCTCCATCAGGAACAATTTCTTCAACTCTTTAGATGCTAGGTTCCATTAATAAATAACTTCCAACGAATCAACAAAGTCCAAAGTTAAACGAACACATTTCAGTCACAAACTTCACAGATTTTTTCCAACCATAGACAATGTAGACATTCCCACAACTCACGCTTGACCGATAATTCGCAACAATGGGTGGATGTCGATCACAATCTATTTTTTTCAAGTCATGGGAGATTATTTTCACTTTTAAAGACAATGACAACTATAAGTATAGTTTAATTTGTGCTGGGAACTCTGTTTTGTATAGTTTTAGGGTTGTTACACACTAATGGGAAACCCTGTGGGAATAGGAGTACGGAGTGTTATCGTCCCTATCAGTACTTCAAAGAGAAGGAGCTGGTCAGTGTGGTATAGAAAGTCAAAACCTTCTTCCTAAGGAGAGGCCTATGTCCAGCA